ATGTATATAAGAGAAAAGGTGTGGTTTTACCTCGCGCTCTGGTGGCCGGTCGGTTCCCCACAGAGCTGTTGGAGCAGCTCGTGTTATCGTCCATAAGTTCCCCGCTGATGTTCCCCCAGCCGCCCAGCACTTCGCGCGCGCTCCCGTTCCCCGCGAGCGCATCCATCCTCCCAGTCCGGCAGGCCAATTAGCGCCCCTTGTTTTACCACACCTGTGAGGACCGGCTTCAAACCCTCCTCGCTTGGAAATATTTGTCACCGTTGCCTTTTTTCTTCATTACACTACGCAGGGATTTTTAGGACGCGCAGGCAAAGTTGGCGAAGAGTGGAGCTGTGCGCATCTGGCTCCAACAGACCAAAGTGATTGAAAAGGCTGCAGATGTTAATTGGAGAGCGGCTAAAGGCGCTTAGAGCGAGCGGACTGCAGGCAGGCTGTGGAGGAATGAGGCAGCGCTGCTACGGGCAACTGTGCAGCTTTCTTCACTCACTCTCTTATTTGCACTCTCTCTCTCTTTCTCTCTCCCTCCCTCGCTTCATTCAACTCATCACAGCTCAGACCAAAGCTGCAAGTCAACATTTACAGCTTTGCAAAATGATTAACTACGGAAGAGGATTAGTGACACTGAAAAAATACAAAAAGTTGACAGAAATTTTTTTTCAGTTTAATATGGGAAAAAAATCCAAATTCTGACTCTAATCCCCGAAATCTGACTTTTTTTTCTCAGAATTCTGACTTAAAAACTCAGAATTCTGAGACAAAAGTCAGAATTCTGACTTTAAATCTCAGAATTTTGACATTAAAGTCAGAATTCTGAATTTTTTCTCAGATTTCTGACTTTAATCTCAGAATTCTGACTTTTTAAAATCAGAATTCTGACTTTAAATCTCAGAATTCTGACTTTAAAACTCAGAATTCTGACTTAAATCACCAAATTCTGACTTAAATCTCAGAATTCTGAGACAAAATTCAGAATTCTGACTTTAAATGTCAGAATTTTGACATTAAAGTAAGAATTCTGAATTTTTTCTCAGATTTCCGACTTTAATCTCAGAATTCTGACTTTTTAAAATCAGAATTCTGACTTTAAATCTCAGAATTCTGACTTTTTAAAATCAGAATTCTGACTTTAAATCTCAGAATTCTGAC